ATTTATAAATACGTACCATAAAATATATCTTAATTTTAGTTTTATGTTTGTTTAATTCAATTATTTAGTTATATATAATGTCAATACTGATAAATTAAGATATGAATATGAAATTAAATGAATCGCCTTGAAGAATTTAGAATTAGAATATAATTTTCAAGATTTCTTTTAGAGAATGATATTGACACTATATTTAAGGGGGAAAAAATGAGGAAACAATTGATAAGTCATAAGTTTGATCGCTACACGTATTTAACCTAAACAAAACCCTAACCCACAAATGCATATTGAGTGTTGGGCTCCCAAAGTATTATCTTTAAGTTGGATCGGTTTCCTCCCAAAGCGTGACAAAGCTTTTATTATTTACAACCCCCTTATTCACTAAATATACCTCCCATCTGAATAGTTACATCGGTTAGTCCTATCCAATCCCTTAGTCTGAATATATGTATGATAATTCATACAAATGATATTGAAGATCAAATGATATTGAAAGATTTTCTACATAAATACTATTTTACATTTACATAAAATTCAACGAAAATCAATGTGATAAAATTTAACAAAATTAAATTTGGATTTCTATTATTAGTTCTCAAAATTTATTATTGGCGAGCCACGACAATTGCACCTATTAAAGCAACTAAAAGAATTATGGAAATAAGTTTAAATGGAAGAAAAAAATCTGTTGATAAATGAATTCCAATTTGTTGACTAATACTTATCAAATCTTGCTCTATAATCTGATTTGGTTTTGTAGTCAAAATAATTCCGTGCCATGATGTATCTAGAATAGTAATTATTAATGAAACAAAAATACTTGTACAAACCATCAAAGTAATTCCATCCCCAATGGTCCAAGGACGAAAATCTTGATAATATTCTGAACCATTCATGAACATCACAGCAAATATTATTAAAACATTTATAGCGCCCACGTAAATAAGTAGCTGTGATGCAGCTACAAAATGGGAGTTTGATAAAATATAGAATAAAGATATACAAACAAGAACAAGTCCCAACGAAAAAGCAGAAAAAATTGGATTCGTAAATAAAACTACTCCTAGACTTCCTAATATAAGACCCGATCCAAGAAAGACTAAAAGAAAATCATGTAGCGGTTCGGGCAAATCCATTATATGAAAAATAAGAGATAAAATAAATCGAAATTTCATGACCTTATTGATATGACCAGGAAAAGCTTATATATTAAATACTTAAAATTATCGCCGTATTGAATTCAACCAAATCCTAAGATAATAAATGTGAATTTCTAGAAGTACAGTTGTTCTAGGTTCAATGTCATTCTATTCTTTTCTTTATGTGAAAGAGTAATTTCAAACTATATGAAAATGAAAGTATATATATATATATATAATCATTTGATATATATTTTATGATTTTACTTTTTAGAATAATTTTTTTTGAATTCTAACTAATTTTATTTTATTTGAATTGTTCTAATTGTATAATCATCAATTACTGATACTGGTAAACGGCCCAAAGCAATTTGATTATAATTCAATTCGTGGCGATCATAAGTCGAAAGTTCATATTCTTCAGTCATTGATAAACAATTTGTTGGACAATATTCAATACAGTTACCACAAAATATACATATTCCGAAATCAATATTGTAATTAAGCAAGCGTTTCTTTCGAATATCAGTTTCAAGTTTCCAATCAACAACGGGTAGATCTATGGGACATACACGAACACATACTTCACAAGCAATGCATTTATCAAATTCAAAATGTATTCGACCACGGAAACGTTCTGATGAGATTATTTTTTCATAAGGATATTGAATAGTTACAGGTAACCTATTTGCGTGAGATAGGGTAATCATGAAACTTTGACCAATGTACCTTGTAGCTCGGACTGTTTGTTGACCATAATTTATGAATCCAGTTACCATAAAGAGCATATCTTGAATATCTCTGAATATTTTTTTCTTTCTATTGTTTGAGACAAATTATGAATATACAAAGTCGACATTTTTTATAGTGAAAACAGTTCAGACGAAGTTGTTAATAATAGATTACCGAGCGAAATGGATAAAAGAAACATCCACCCAAGATTTAATAATTGGTCTATTCTTAGCCTAGGCAAAGTTCATCTTGTTGTGATAGAAACGAATAATAATAAATAAGTTTTAGTTAGTGTAATAAAGATACCAATTATCGTTACAAAAATTCCATATGCTTTATTTATTTCAAAAAAATAAAAAATGAATATGTACGGAATAGAAAAATTCGAACCACCCAAGTAAAGAACTGTTACAAATAAGGAAGAAATTAATAGGTTTAAATAGGAAGCAATGTAAAATAAACCAAATTTGATACCCGAATATTCGGTTTGGTAACCCGCTACTAATTCTTCTTCCGCTTCCGGTAAATCAAAAGGTAATCTTTCACATTCTGCTAGAGAAGAAATTAGAAAAACGACGAAACCCATAGGTTGACGCCACAAATTCCATCCCCAAAAACCATATTTTGATTGCGCATCAACTATATCAACTGTACTTAAACTGTTAGATAATACTAGTCGGTGATAACATTACTGTTACCACCTCTATTACAGAACCGTACATGAGATTTTCACCTCATACGGCTCCTTTAAAGCTTTAAAAAATCTAAGGACCGGGCCGATTATTTATCCATTGATATATCTCTAAGATAGATAAGATTCCATTTTATCGGACGGTTCTAAATTAAACTAATTGAATTCTGTCTGCTCTAATAAAATATTTAAAAATAAATACAAAAAGTACTTCTGAATTTGTCTCATCCTTTAAATAAAAAACCAAAATTCAAATAGGTTGAGTAATAGCTTTATTCTTCCATAAAATACTCTTTTAGAATTATCAAAAACTCTCTCATCATTTTCGATTACGAAAAAGAATTACATCTTGGTTTTCTAAATTATTACATGAATTCTATATCTATATTTATGGATATAAGACAAACAAAAAGGGGGATCACTTTTTTTTTGTTCTTATCCTATTCTTTGTTGTGCAAGTAAAAAAAGGGACTTCAAAAAGTTAAAGGATTATTTCGTTCCTGAAAGTTATTTGTTTAATCATTGGATGAAAGTATACTCTGGATCGGAATTGGGGGGAGTACTGCCTTATTTTTTCTACCAATTTAAAGCCCTGATTAGTATTCTTTTTATATTATACATAAAACATAAATGCTCTTTTGGAGATTTTTAAAAATATACGTTACTAATCCTTTGTGTATCTTGGTGTTTCTAACCATCCATTCATTTTTTTATTATTAATTCCTTATTGTTAATATATGTATGATAATTCATACAAATGATATTGAAGATCAAATAATATTGAAAAAAAAAAGTTTGGATTAAATGATAGATTATTATGATAACCTGATGATTCATCTATTTAAACGACATAATTTTTATTAACTATTACATTATTTAATAACTTTATATTAAATATAATTTTTTTATAAATTTAACTGTTGAATTATAACTTCATATCACTTTATATGTTTATATCAACTTGAAGGTAAGCAAATTGTTCATATTTTATTATAAAATTATATATATATAATCTAAGAGTAAAGAATTTTCAATCTAACGGTTGGATTTATAAAATTCATATTTAATATAAATTTATTGAGCGATGTAATACTTAATACAAGTTATACCAGTATCTTTTAAATCCTCTTCTCATATATATATATATATATATATTTAAATAATTTAATTTATTTTATTATATATAATTTGAGATTTTTTGTATAATAAATCTATTAGAAGAGTCATTATTATTATAATGACATATCTATTTTATTATTAATAATTTTGAAATTTATAGTGCAGGAAATAAAAACAAATCTACCTAAACTGAGATTTATTTTATTATTTAGGTACACTAATTTATGTAAATCCTTTAAATATTAAATATAAAAAAATATGTTAGAAGTAGTATTTAAAATAAATATGCATTTTTTTTAAGTTTATTTTTTTTGTGGGTCACCAACTCACCTTAAACAAGGCGGATCAAAACATCCCGTCCATTTTCACTAAACAAATTAGTCCAACTTAACATGTTTTTGACGAGTTAATGACAGAGCAAATCTATATGAGTCAAGATGACTCATTTTGTCATCTTTATTCATATGTACCTTCCAAAAATTACTTTCCGGAATAAACATATACCATTTCGCAAGGTAATTCCCAAAACTAGATTTTAATAAAAATAACAACTTTAGAAATTACTTTTTAATATAATATATATTTGCTCTAAAAATTACTTTCTAAATAATATATATTTTGTCGGAAAACTAATTTTCGATAACACTGGAAAAAAAAATACAAGTTCAATGTAATCATTGGGTCTAGTATCATGAAAAAGTAATGATTACGTTTAGAAGAAAATGCACAAACTTTTTTCTTTTTTCCCTTTCCATGTTACGCCCGTTGTTTGAAATAAAACATGAAGTATCATCAATGACAAACATGATATATTACATTAGTTACCTTGTGAGTTATAATCAACATAAAATTCGTAAAATTCTACTATTTTTTAGAGAGAAAAAAAAATAGATATAAAAGTTTTAAAGAATGATAAAAATGATGTGTAAAAATAGAGTTTAAAGAATGATAAAGATGAGAGTGGAAATATTTTGAGCTATATTGGAGAAATATTTTTAAAATTATATATTAATATTAATATCTTCCCCTAATTCATGTAACACTGCTTAAAATAAACATAATTAGTAATTTTCAGCTGTGCTGAATGTCCAAATGGTTCATCGGGATACAGAGGAGTAAAATGGATCAAAAACACAATTTTATCTTCATCACACGTTCTCATTTTATTTCACATCCCAATTGTTCTTTTCAGTCTTCCAGCCAAAATGCAAAGAGATCAATGTAAAAGGGTAACAATTAAACCCTAAACCCTAAAAGTGTAACAATTAAACTCTAATTGGCACGATTGTTTTCAAAGAAAGTTACTCTTAAAGTCGTAATTCAGTGTAAATAATGCTTGGCCATTACTCTCAAATTTCATTTTGAATGCAATTGGAAGGACTATGAATTTGCCGTGCTATACAAATAATTAATAATTTGAATAAGGAGGAAATGTCATCCTCTGTATTATTTCCACTTATGATGTGGGGTAAATTAACCAAAAATAAATTTTGAAGCTATCTTCCTATGATATACTCTATGGAAGCTGAATTCCCAAGCCTCTTGAATATATTAAAATGGAAAAATAATCAAATGAAGTCGGGTTGGCCTGTTGCAGTTAAGCATCGATGCCACATTCGACTGTTAGAGTCCACCAACCTGGGATGAGATATCACTTCGGGAATGGGAAAGTAAGCATAGTGTGTGTTACAAGTGCCTACTGTGATGCCACTAAATCCAGCAAATGCACCATGAACCTGCATGCAATACAAAAGCTGTGAATCAATATCAAGTGACAAATGTATAGTTCTAGACATGGATGTACTTTTGGAAATGCTGTATGCATTTTGTGCTAGAGAAATAGTACTTATATTCATTGTCATATATGCCCAATAATCTCAATAACACATGTATTGGGAATATGCTTGAGCTGGCATCCAAATATTTGTTATCAAATAAATTTCTTGGAGATTTATAACATTACCATATTAATCTTCAAAATTTTAATTTGTCAGTAAATTAGTCCCTCAAAGATTCGTTTGTGTTACTACTTTAGTCTTCTGTAAAGACAAATAGGGTGATATTTTAAATCTGACACTAAATAGGTAACGAGTTTTTTGGAGCACTAATATGATAACATTTTTAGATCTTTGAGAGACTTGTTCAGTGACCAAATATTTTGAGAATTAATATGGTGAAGATTGTAACTTTGAATGATCAAATTGAGGATTCCCTCCACATATTTTTAGCCTCTAAAACAGCAAACGCGTGCAGAAGGAAGAATATAAAAAGATGAGTGAAAGAAATAAGATAACAGGATAAATCAATCCCTCTCTTAGGTTAGGCCAGAGTCTTATTATCCACATTTTATGGGGCTGAAATTCCAAATGAATCTGATACTTTATTAATATTCACATAGTTTTTATCTTTCTATAAAAGAAAGTAGATCAATAGGAACTTAGTAACTTGAATTGAAATCTAGATTCTCCATGCTTGTAGTTGGGTGAAGTATAAACATAATCCAGAAGTGCCTAGCTGTATTGATGAGAAATTGAGAATAAAAGGCCGTGCCTTATGAGAACCAATTATAAAGGTTAAATCGTATATATGCAACAGGAAAATATAGAGCAGAGGGACTAACTGCATTTTGTCCAAGTACAGTACAAAAAATTCCATCAGAAGCATTTGCTCGACATGCACGGATCATGTATGTTGGATCGATATATTTCACGTCAGCATGAACACCAATTTCTTTGAAGTATCTTTTTGTCTGAAATAAAACGGTTGTTGACATGAAACACAAGATTTAAAAATACTGCATTACAAAATAACTCAGTGCGGCAATGCCATATTCAAGTTGTTAGGACTTAGGCGTACAACAACATGAGACAGAAACCATACTCAAACACAATGCTTGGCATTGTACCTCAAAATGCAGTTGAGCTTTACCTTAAACAGAAATAAAAGTAGGAAAGCAGATCAAGAGCGTAACTAGTCCAAAACAGGCAGTTATTAAAAATATACTACCTTAGAATTTGGGTTTAGGGTCTAACCCAATTCTAGAAATCCAGCATGGTAAGAACTTTTCAAGTCTTATCAGGACTGCTTTAACCATATTTCTAGTTTATTGGGATCTCAATATAAGAAAAAAAAGTATAATAATTATTTTTTATATTAACTCGCATAACCAAGCTTTGACAATACATGTTGGTGAGGACACTATTTCCCGTTTTACCAAAATTATTATGCTTAGAAGAGCACATTACTTCTTTTAACAAAATAACATGTAAGTAATTGTCAAAACCAACTTACTCATGATCTTTAACATTGGAAAAGAGGAAGCTATAATCAAAGTTTTAATTTGTGGCATCATTACCCTGAACATATAAATTGTTACGTAGGCAACAGGAAGGATATTAAAGCCTTTGTTTACTATTCTCAATATCATTTTTATGTTGTCCCCTCAACATACTTGGAAGGCGTTTATCTCATGAGCACATATGTTTCCTAAAAATTTGTCCTTTAAATACTTGAAGAAGAAGATAAGAAAACATCTCCAAACTGTTTCTGGATTTGGTTTGGATGAGAAATTGAGTTCTTTGTAGTGAAAAATTATTTCAGAAAATAGATTTTAAAAAAAAATTGAGAAGTGAAACTAAAACCCGTTTCTTTGACAGACAGCATGAGCCTTCTTTTCAAGGATCTCACTTCTTAAAGTAGGGAGAAGGGATTTGAACTCAAGATGAATATTTACAAAATCAACTTCCCTTTCAATAAATTTAGATACCAAAACCACAAGTGAAATTGGCACAACAGTCAGTTGCTAGATGATAGGCATATACACATAATTCAAAATATATGAGCTATTCCATGAGCTTACATTTTTTTTTTCCTTTTATTTTTTATTTGACATTTAATTCATGAAAAAGAAGCATTATATATCCAATTTTCATCAAGTCTCAACCATTTAGATTATTGTAAACATCATAAACAAGTAATAACAAACCTCTTGTTGGGTATATACACCAATGTCTCTATATACAGTATTCCCAGAAGCATCAGTAGCATTAGTTTTTTGAAGTAAATCCTGCATTAAGATAGATCAGTTAGCAAGTTTTAATTTTTGTCTGAATGTAACAATCTTCAAATAAATAAATTAAAAAATAGCAATACTTATATTTTTTGCTGATTGCCATTTGCCACTCCATAACATAAGAGCAGAACTTCAATAATACAAAATGTTGATTTATTATTTGTGAAAATAATTATATAATCTAAATCACCTGTCCGGCTCCCTCTGCCACACAGACTACAGCTGATCCCTTTGTTTCTATAAGGTACTTGAGATAACTCAAAACTCCAGAAGGTCCATGTAAATTGAAAGGAATCTTTGAACCGCAGAAAGAACTTCCATCAGTTTATCAATATGACAAAGAAAAGAGAGTTCCAACCAATTTTTGTTATATACCTCAGGAATCAGACATATGTCAATCTGTCCACTAGCTAAGGAAGCATGCATTGCTATGAATCCACTGTCACGACCCATTAATTTCACAATACCAATTCCATGATATGCACTATGTGCCTAATAAAATGAGGGAAGGGATGTAAATATCGTAATATTTACCAATTTAAAAATATCACTGGATTTAGTCAAATTGACTCAGAATATTAGTAATTCACCTCAATGTAAGCAGAATTTATTGCTCTTTGTGCTTCTTCGACCGCAGTATCAAAGCCAAAAGTTTTGTCCATCAATAGAATATCATTGTCTATAGTTTTAGGCACTCCAATTACAGATACCTGAAGCCGTCTTTTACAGCACTGAAGAAAATATTTCATCAGATATTATGACAGCATGCAAAATATAAGTGAAGATCCGTCAATATCACACATTATGCATATCTCAACAACTGTCTAAAATACAGTTTAATGTTAGCATTAAGTAATCAGAAAATAAAAGACACAGAGAGTCATACCAAAAAGAATATCACCTTTATAAATTTCAATGAATTTGTTAAAATATGGTTCCTCATAAAAGAACTCATCATAGATCACAAAACGATCCAGTTGAATGCAATCAATTAATACAAAGATGAAATATTAACAACCTCATTATGAATTGCATTTGCACCAGCATGTGTGCCATTTCCACCCAACACAAAGAGCATGTTGATCCCTCTTTCCTGAAATCCATAACATGCAAGTCAAACAAATCACAGTAAATATAGTATCCAGTATAAAAATAAAAACTTCTCTGTCAAATCATCAATTTTGTTAACAGAATGGATGAATAGACCACCTCCAAACTGTTCACGATTTCACTGACTCCAGGTCCTCCACGTGAAACTCCTAATAGGCTTCCCCCTGAAAGATGGATATTCTGAACCACTTTTCTTGACAGCTGCAAATGAAATCCCAATAAACAGTCATTAGCAAGAAGAAAAGTGCAATAAATTTACAAAAGATCTTTAGTTAAATCAAATGATATTTAAACCAAAATCAGCAAGGAGGGAAGCATGAGATTACTGGAACTTCTATCAGCTCTTTGTCAGAAAATCCACGATAACCAAAAGGAATGCCCACAATCTTTGTTACACCATATATTTCGAGTGTGATTACAATCTGCAGCATATTCATTATTGAATCAAACATTGAGAGACAACTTAATGACCATAAAACTAGAGCTGGTTTACAAAGAAAGCCAAACTAGGAATGTCCTAAATTACTAGATCCGAAATAATTGTAGTTTTAAAATTAACTGAAAGGACATGGAGTTGCATAGAGCATACTTTAAGACAGTTTCATGGAAGCAAGGAATATATTTCAGGTTTGACAATAACTTAGGCACGAGTATTTCACTGCCCAGAGAATTTAGTGACAATGTATGGTCGAGATATGCAAATTAAAATGTTACATTTCTCTAGTAATTTTTGCTGCCTTAACTTTAAGAGAACTTGCAAGGCTTTAATATTTTCTCTAAAATTTGTCAAAGCTATATGAGAAACAATTTGATATTAAACTAACCTGTCTGATGACATCATTAAGACCAGGGCAGAGCCCTCCACAAGTGACAATTGCAGCCTTTACTTCTTCTGGTTTAAAGTATATCTTTTCCCGAGGGCCAGCTCGATGAACCCTAAAAAGGATTTGGAAACCTTTTACCAAATATGATAATCTTTGAAATAAATGTATATACATTAAGAAAACTAGAAAGAAAGACATAACTATTTGATAACTCAAAAGAAAAATTAATAGTAACTATTGTCATAATTTTCAGGAACATCTCTCTCAATCTCACTTTCTTACCCTGTCAAAAAGAGCAGCAGTAAGGTAACTGTGATATTCACATTCTACTGTCCAATACATAGGTGAATTCTTTGGAACCTTTATCTGATTGTTATAAACTGTGCATCAGAATTGTCACATATCAATGCTAAGTTCGATTATTTCACTCTGCCACTTCATTTTATAGTATACAATGACAACAGGAAGCCTTGCCAAATATTGACTTTAGATGCATTTTCATGGTTGTAAACCATGATAAAATTCAGATAACTGAGAAGAGACGAATAATATTTTAGCCAAATTTTACAATAAAATAAAATAAATTGCAGGTTAAATGATAAAATACGAGTAAATTCAATAATTAGAAGTTACATAGATAAGGATTTATTCATTGAAATTATGGTGTTGTCATGTAGCTAGGAAGGGGCACTGAAGTCTCAAACTCCCAAACTTCCTCTTAAATTCCATACAAGAAAAATATTGGAAAAGAAACATTTTTGTTTGAAGAGTTTTTAGTGCCACTTAGTGAAAAATGCATCCTCTTGTCCATCACAAATTTCAAACCAACCTCTCAAGTCCCAATAAAATAGTACACACCATTTTTTTAATATAGCAACATTACTATCTTTTGATATGCATGTGCATAATCAGTCACTATATTCCAGATTTGAATTGTGAAAGCAAATATGTACCATTGTTCCACCCAATTACAACCAGGATCAATGCACTCAGCGCCAGCAGATGTAGGTGATGAATAATAGATTGTCTGAGAGATCAAAGCAAACAGAAATTATCATTCAGAACTGTCAACACTTGTATCATAAACTTAATAGTATAAGATCATCAATTCATATCCAACACAAGCATTTCCCTGCTCTTCAATTCTATTTTCAAAAGACATTCCAATGCAAGAATTAGTGAAAAATGCAAAAACTGTTTCCTCTTACAAGACAAATATTGGCCCAAGTGCGAGAATAAATGTGTGTTGATGAATGGTGACAGAGAGACAGCTTTCAAACAAATAACCAAGCAACCAATTACAACTTAAGATGACAAATCATATTACAGTAGTAAATTAAAATTAACTAGTTCCCACAAAGAGAACTAGTTTGATTCAAAATCAGTGAAAAGCAACAACTGAAGTCTAAATATCACGGCTAAAGAAAAAAATTCAACACAATGACAATAAAAGACACCAGAAATTGATGATACATGAATGCAATAAACACAGAAACAGTATAAACGGTAAGGTTATAAAAAACAGTCTGCAACCGCAATTTCGTCACAAAGTTAAGGATTTTAAACTCTCCATGACCGCATTGCAACCACAATTGCGGTCGCATCAGGTCACATTTATCTACAATTTTCCACTATGTCATTGCCAAGGATAGTAACAATTACAACTGCAATAACAGCTATCAAGTTATATATATAATCAATTAAAATTCAAACAACATGAGGGGTGAATGAAGCACACTACCTTAAGAAGCACTCTGTCGTTGTCATTAATATATCCATGCCAATCATCATCCGAAGGATAATTGCCCGGAAAGTCGCTCGTCCTAGGAGTTTTTTCACAGTCACAGACATGACCAAGAAAAAATTGCAGATAAATCACATCATCAACAACAACAACAACAAAAAAAAACACATAGGAGTAGTTAGTTAGGTGTTAATGTTATAGTTGCAGTTATTCTATCATAATTGGAGTTTTACCTATGATAAACTTTAACTCAACATACTTTTATACTTTTGTCACGTAAATTATCAACGGGAGAATAATACCAAAAGCATCTAAGAATCTGAACATTTGTTTCGTCAAAAAAAGAAAGAAAGAAAAAGTTAATGTAGTCCCAGAAAGCAAAGAGCAACGAACCTCTTTTTGGGACAGAACGTAGAGGGCACAGAAGCAGCATCGGGGAAGATGTCCGTGACATGGGGGAGTCTGAAACGTTGTTGAAAGTCGTCCTTGAACTTGGTTTTCCAATAAGGGTCGGTGAAATCAATTGCGGCGGTGGAGTTTTGGGTCTTAAGTTTGGCAAAAACGCGAGGGACTCTGGTAGGTAGCGATGTATTGAAACGAGGGTTGGAATGAGAGTGGGCATAGGAGCAACTTGTTAGACCATGAAGAGTGATCACGTGGGATAAGGTACCCATCGAACAAGGGTTGGTTGAGACTGGAGAGTGATGAATAGAATTCAAAAGTATGAAATGCAGGAACGGAACCGGAGGGAGCGAGGAGAGAGGCGTTGTGAAACCGAAGAAGGATTCAAAATTCGGGTTCAACAGTTGTTGTAGCAGGTTCTTCTTTGCGCCATGCGGTCACGTTAATGACATCACGTGAAACAGACAAGAGAGACAACCTTTGAAGGCAATTTGGTATGTACTTTACTACGGTGACGGCCCCTGCTGTTGGCTATCTTCAACCTTCCAAACGGAAAATTTGTTACTTCCTTTATTTTTAATTTCCCCCACCTATACATTTATCATATGTTTGGTAGGTGGAAAATGAATATGCTAAAAATAAAATAGATAAAAAAAAAATATTACATTTTATCAGCCTAACAACCTTAATTTTTAATTTTTACTCATGTTTTTCACTCTTCACATTATTTCCATTTTTACCTATACATTAAGTAAGAAATTAATTTTTTTTTTAGAGCATAAGTAAGAAACTAATGTGTCAAAAAAAAAAAACTAATAATAAATAAGGAAGAGAGATAAAATAGATAATCTTTTTTTTTTTTTTCATTAAGTTGACTGATTCAATTGGTTAAGCAATGCGCAAAAATTGTTTGAAAAATTTTCGGTATTTAATTAGTTTCTATGAATAAAAAGTTGTATTTCTTAACTAGTATTTTATTATGTGTATTTTATAGGTAAAATATTTATTATATATTACTTAATTTTATAATAAATTATATATAAATATATATTATATTTGAGTATGTAAATTATATTTAAAAATTTTGTAAATAATTTTTTAAATATATAAATTATATTTTACATTAAAATAAACAAATTATATTACGATGGAATATTGTTTAATTATTGAGAATATATTTAAAATATTAAAATTTAATTCATAAATAAATATGATCAATAAAAAATTAAATTAAATAAAAAGTTATAAGAATTCTTAAAAACATTAATTTTTATTTTTATTTTTATTTAATTTAAAACCTAGCCTAAAAACCTTTACAATTTTATGAACATTTCAAACCTTTTCCCTTCTATTAGTATATTAAATTTTCTTAATTATCTATCTCTTCTAATATCCCGTCAAAAAATTCTCTTATGATACACCCCTTTCATCTTTATTTATAGAAAATGTAAAATAAATTTATTTTTTTACAGCAATATAAGTTTATTTGTTCAAAAAAATTATTTTTTACAAATTTTAATTATAATTTAATTTATATATTGAAAATATTTTTGTATTATAAATTTTAGTTATATTAAATAAACATCTATTATATGTATTTTGTATATTTTAAAATACTAGTTAAAATATGTTTGTTAAGAGAAAATTTTCTCAACATTTATAAAGGAATGTGTATTAATGTCTTTTAATGACAATGATGAGAAGCCGTAACGGTTACATAATTCTCTTCGTGGATGTCGGGTAGTTACGGGAAATGATGGATTCTTGTGTAGGTTTATTAGTAATTAGATACATGAATACTTCTAAACTATCGTAAGAAATATATATATATATAT